GGATTTAAAGAAAGTTTTTGACTTTATAAGTTAGGAGTTTTTTATATTAGTCCTATTGGCCATGAGGATACCAAAAACGTTTGTTATGTGGGTGCCAAGGTTTTCATTATCAATTAATGGTGGCTTGATGGGATACTTTGCAAGGCCAAGAAGAGTCAGGCAAGGTGACCTATTGTTACCTTTCCTATTTGTTATTGCAATGAATATATTGTTAAGATTGTTGGACATTACAACTGAGTTTAAGGCCTTTTCTTACCATCCAAAATGCAAAAGAGTCAAACTGATACACTTATGTTTTGTGGATGACTTATTTTAACAAAAGGAATATTGACTCTATCATTGGGATTCAAAACATTCAAGAGCTTTTCTGCTTTTACTCAGGCTTCTACTTAATAATGCAAAAGGTAAGTTATTTAGTTTGGGGATTCAAAGGCAAGAACTGCTTGAGATATTATAAGATATAAGATTTAAACATGGAACCTATTTGTTAGATATCTTGGTATTCCTTTGGTCACGCACAGACTTACTATTATGGATTGCACTTTATTAATTAAAGAGATTAATATAAGAAAAAAATGGTTGGAAAACTAAGAACCTAACTTATCCAAGCAGGTTTAAACTGATACAATCAGTTATATTTCGCATGCATAATTACTGGTGTCGGCACTTTGTTCTCTTTCAAAAGTTCATAAGAAAGGTCATACAACTATGTTTAATTTTTTTTTTTAGAATTGCCAAGCAGATTTAGCAAAAGAGGCAAGGGTAAGGTGGCAAATCATATGCAATCCTAAGTAAGAGGAGGCCTAAGATTGAAAGACCTTTTTGCATGGAACCAGGCTTACATCCTAAAGCATTTTTGGTCACTCTTCTCGTAAGCTGGCTCAGTTGGATAGCATGGATACATAGCTACATGCTTAAAGGGCTAAGCTTATACAAAACGCTAATTAGTTAAGGTACTAACTTTGCATGAAAAAACTATTACAGTTAAGAAGTACTACTTTTAAGTTCTTGATACAAATAGAATAAGGTATGGTTAGGAATATTAGTGGCTTGGGGTATTCTACTGTTGCTGTATGGGGAGAACTAAGAGCAAAGCAGACAAAAGTAGATTAGCACAGGCTCATATGGTACAAATTTCATATCCCAAAATGTACTATCATTGCTTGGATGGCTATTCTCAATAGACTTACTACTAATGACAAGTTGACTTCATAAAGGATTACAAATGATAAAGGCTGTGTGTTGTGTAGTCAAGAGACTGAAAGAAGGAACCATATATTTTTTAGTTGTAGCTATTCAAAAGCAAAGTGGAAGAGGGTTTTGGGACTATGCAATTTGCACAAAGAAGTTGTTGGTCGGGAAGAGGAGTTTCAATAGGCAGTGATGAAGTTTTAAGGGAAGTCCTTATTGTTTATCCTATTATGACTAGCTTAAGGAGTATATCTATATTTGATATGGAGAAAGAGGAATAAAAGGCAATTTAAAAGAGAAGATTACTTTGAAGAACATATTTTGTAGTAGCTCAATATGTAAATAGAGAATTAAGTGAAAGATAGGAACTTAGTGTAGATGTATTTGTAGTATAAATCACACATTGTAAAATGATTGTTGTTCTGCACATAGGTAGTAGCAAATTATTGCTTATTGGATAATAAGATTACAATTTATCCAAAAAAAAAGTCGATGAACTCTTAATTTAATAAAAGAATCATGACAAAATAATTGATTTCCCTAATAACATGAAAAAAACTTTCAATTATATAGTTTATTTAAAATCTTATTATAATTTTTTGGATTATCAAAAACTTTATTTTTTTATAATATAAAAAAAAAATTGTTTAACCAATAAATTAATAACCAAAATTAGGAGGAACTACTTAGAATCATGAGCATTTTTCTCCAAAACATTCAAAATTGCAAATTTAATGTAACAAAAATGTTGTCATTGATATTATTATTCAAAATTCTCTCTTTTTTTTTTAAAGCAAGTTCTATAAATAAAGTTGAGAAATTAACTCCATAAAAACAAAGGTAGGTTAATAAGTGGTGTTGATAAAGTGATAAGAATTGAACAGTAATAAATACAGGGCAGGGATTATGGGATTAAAAAAAAATGAAAGCTGATGTTAACTGTCCAAATTCCGTTTCCCAATTAATACTTCTAATTACATAAAATTTTGGGATAGTACGTATGAAACGTCAACTGACAGTCCAATTCCCCCGCCTTTTTTTTTTTGATAAAGTCCAATCCAAAATTTTGATTTCTAATTAAGTGTACTGTACTTTCTTTTTTCCATTCCTTTAATAGAAATATCTTTTTAATATTAATATTAATATGAGGAAAATTTTGTAACCGTCGATTAGGCTTAGTTCATCCAAGGGCAAGGGAACTAACATTGTCACTTCATATGTCAGTTATCTTTACATTGATCAAATCTGGAAAAAGGAAAAGTAAAAGTGAATAGATGTGTGATTTTTTTTTAAATGTTAGATTTTAAATTTTAATTATTAAAATTTAAATTTTGATAATTTTAAATATAAAAAAGTATTTAAAAAATGCTGGGAAAAACAAGAGCTTTGAAAGGACCAATTTTTTTTTTTCTGATTTTGACGTGATTAGACTACTCATCACTGTTTTTGCAGAATTTTATGGCAGTATAAGAACGAGAATTTTTTACTGCATTGAGAGAATTTCTTCCATTTCTTTCCTTTTCCTTGGACACCTGAAGCTCAGAAAATTTTCGATTTCAATTTAATAAAAGGGTTGATTTTTTTGTACAAACAAAGTGCTGTACATTCCATTTTTAATTACGTAAATATCTCATATTTTTTACAATAAAACATGTTAATGATTTAATTAAGTAGTTTTTTTTATAGCAAACATTGTATATTTTATTTTTTAAGTGTTTTCATTTAATTGTTAAATATTTTGATATGTAAAAATTATATATTAAAAAATAATTTTAGCAATTAAAAAAAATTACGCTTCGTTTTAATTTTTTAAAAATCAATATAAATAATACTATTTATATTAAATTTAATGAATTTATAAAAAAATTATATTTTTATACCCTCTTAACAAATTTAAATTCAAAGAACTTAGAGCAGAACAAACTCTTTTTCCACTCAAATCAATAACTATTAGTATATTAAAGATTTTTCATGATACAAACCTATTAATTTTAGATTGGATAATATATCTTAAAACTTAGGAGTGATGTTGATCTTACAATAGAACTTAAAGGATAACTTTTTTGTTGGTATGTTGGAATAGCTACCAACACAATATATGTGTTGACAGAACATCATGTCCTACTTTTGGTTTTTTAATGCTTGAAATTGAACTGTTTGTTTCATCAAGACAACTTCGCTAATGATTCCTTCAGTTAATATATTTTTGCAACTTGATGTCTTCCATGACGATAACATTCCATGAAATTAACTAATTAGCTGAAAGCAATTAGTAAATGTGATTAGAGCTTCTTCATTTTTTGTTTTTGTTTTTCTATCTCATTGTGGAAACAGTTTCCTTAATGGGTCAAATATTTGTAGCTTTTGATGTAAATTCTTGATACGTAAACCAAAATTCAACTAACATCAAAAAATTTAACCATATTCATGTGGCCACTGGATCCTATTTGGATTGAAGTTCATACTTGACCTAACTTTATCTATATCTATATCTATATATATATATATGTATATTTATATATATATATATATATCATCAAAAATTTAATTCTGATCGTTAATTAAAATTGAAAGATAATAGATTATACGATTATCGACAACTTAACCTCATTTTTTAATTTATAACAGAAGTGAAACAAAAAATATGAGAAAGAAAGGGTTAAATAATAATTTTATTAAGAAAGAAAGGATCAAATATTACTTTTTGGTTGGGTATAATATTCTGCTCAATGATATAAAAAATTTGTTAGGGGACCATGGACTTGCCAGCAGCCTAGCCCCTGATTTGCGATATGTGTTTTTTTTTTTTTTTTTACAAGTACTTTGGGATTATTGATATTAATGAGATCGTTTTCTTTTCTTCCATTTTTTTATTAATCAGAGAAATACAATCCATCATCCACTCTGTTGTCCAGTGGTTAAAAAGTTACTAGGAACTGAAACTTTCTCCTCTTTCCTATAGTGTATGCCCATCGTATGTAGAAAAAAAAGTAATATACTCCAAAATTAAGTAAAGAAGTACATAAATTTCAAGTAGAAGTCATTAATTATTGATGTCCAAACAAATTGTGATCTTTATCTTTGAAAGTCTTGAAAATTAAAAGCCTTGGGTGTGGTTCTTTTGCATTGGTGGATCTACACTTTGTAATAAGTGTTTATGGGCACCCTTCAAAAATTAAAAAAATAATTTTTTAGATATTTAAAAATTAAAAAATTTCATTAATATCTTTTACGTTAATAAAATTAATAAATTTATTATCAATTAATATATATTATAAATAAATATCCTTAAAAAAAATCCAGAAACCCGCTGGTGCTCCTTTAAGTAAAATGACGATGGAAAGAACCGGAGACAGAAAATAGAACATACATCTACCAGTTAAGTCCCATGTCCGAAATATGTGTTTCCCATGAATTTTGAGATGTGATGGCCCATTCAATTCAGTCTCCCATCCCATCCCATGTCTCCGCCAACCGATCTTTGCTATGTGCATGGTTTGGTAAGGACAGAGACCCTTCACCTCCGAATGTGATTACAAGCACGTGCCGAGCACGTGAATCACAGGAGAGTATTAATAAACCCTTCTAATTTTCTCTCTCTTTTTTGCAGAACACAGCGGAACATTAATTGCATGTTGACGCCAACCGCGCGTCACCTAAGTCCGAAACCTTGGCGCACGTAAAGACGAAGCCCAATCTTTGCTTTTACTGCCGACAATTTAGTGCTTCCCCAAGTAATTCCGTGTCCCCATCTTCTTCTGCCCCCACACCTCAACTCCTTCTGTCATGACACGCGCCACCTGACCCCACTTGGAGGTCCCACCTTCTCGCAACTGGATGCGTGCGAGTACAACACCATCTGAAAAGGTCCCATCCCCCTCAAAACAAAACAAATGTAAGTTTCAGTGTCGGGCGAAGCGCGTGATTGGCGCGTGAAGCGTTGGATTCCTTTCTTTTGTCCGCTCTGCAGACTGTACCCAACAATGGACAACCCCCAACCCCGGAATCTTCACTGTATCCACTCTGTTTTTCTTCTTTTTTTTCAATCCACAGTTAAAAACTAACCCAGTTATTATTTTATAGTGCTGTAAAAATCAAGAGACAAAGAAGGAAAGAAGCAGCTATTAAAGAGAGTAGATTTCAATGGACGGGAAAGTATATCATGAAGGACTCTTTGAAACAAAAAAACAGCTTCTTTTGCAGCTAGAGAGAGAAGGAAAACCAAAAAAAAAAATTATGGCCACTCTCTCTTATTCCTCTTATCTTCTTTTTGTTCTCCGTTAGTGAAAAAAGGTTAAAAATCTTTTTTTGGGGTAAATTTTTTTTTCTTTTGGGGGAGAAATGGAGTTCGAGGATCAAGAGGAGCAAGAAGAAGAGATGGGTTTGACACCAAGTTATGACTCGCTATCAAACTCATCTCGAGCTAAAATGTCAGGTGTTGAACCGGGTTCAATAACTCCAACCGGTCAGCAGCAGCAGAGGAAGCCCAGGTATAGAGAGTGTTTGAAGAACCATGCGGTGGGAATCGGTGGTCACGCCGTCGACGGTTGCGGTGAGTTCTTGCCGGCTGGAGCTGAAGGAACCCTCAACGCTCTCAAATGCGCAGCTTGTGCCTGTCACCGTAACTTCCACCGTAAGGAAACGGAACTGGGTTCCCCAAACTCGGTCCCCACGACGGACTTCTGCTTCCACAACCACCATCACCAGCCACCGCAATTCACACCTTACTTTAGAGCGCCAGCAGGGTACCTCCAAGTTGCAGGACAGCAAAGGCCATTAGCTTTACCGTCGACATCAGGAGGAGGAGGAGGACACAGCAGGGAAGATCAAGAGGATGTTTCGAATCAAGGGAGTTCAAGGAAGAGGTTTAGAACAAAGTTTACGCAGGAGCAAAAGGAGAAGATGTTGGGGTTGGCTGAGAGGTTAGGTTGGAGGATTCAGAAACATGATGAAGCAGTTGTTCAACAGTTCTGCAGCGAAAATGGGGTGAAAAGGCATGTCTTGAAAGTTTGGATGCATAATAACAAGCACACTCTTGGTAAGAAACCCTAGAAATAGATTCTTCATATTTTTAGGGTTACTTTGGGATTAACATTTGGTACTGAGGTAGTGATTATGATGTTAGTGATGGAGTACTAATAGTATTATTAAGTTGGGTTTACATCAGATTATTACTTAATGTTAATGGGTACTTAATTTTTAGTTCTAATATATTTTCTTTTTGTTGCATTTCAAAGCTCTTTTTTAATGTGAAAATGGGTTTAGATATTGGTGCATTGAGGCAAAGTGGAGACATGCACTGCAACGCAAGACGCCTGAAAATAGAAGAGCTCTAACTGGTTTTGAGCATGGGGATTTTGAGCTTTCACGAGTAAGAACTTTTTTTGTTAACCGAGATAACAAGCTGGAAGGATCAAGATGATCATTTTCCTTTGGAGACATAAACATTTGCTATAATCTTAGTTAATTTGCTTTACGTGAGTCTTTCAGCATTAATTATGAGTTAATGGTCTTTTACTTCTTCTAAGCAAACTTTTGTTTGTGTTAGAAATCCTCTGCTATCTAACATTGATATATGTGCTTGAGAAAGTGATGAGCGAAAGGAAGGGGAGAGAAGGGGATTGAGCTTAAGTTTGAAGTATTATGGATGGCATTGAATGAATGAACTTTTCTTTTCTTTTTTCCTGCTTTTTTCAACATTGATCCTTTTTCCTCTCTATTCAATGTAGATACTTTCCAACGCTTTTTGTTCGTGTAATTTTTTTTCATAACATTTTGTGTTCCTTGTTGCACTTCTTCTTCAGTCTTCACTTCCTTTTGTGCAGTTTTTTTGTTTCTAATTTTGAGGTATGGGGTACATTTTAGCTTTAATGTTCAAACAAACAAATGTTTATGATCATGGGGCCTCCTTTCTGTTACCAATTGCAAGCCTGATTTTGTTTTTCCTGGTGATGCATTTACTTTTTCAGTCTTTGAGTACAGAAACTGATCTTCGATTTTTTTTTTCCTTTTAATGAAAATTAACATTTGCTCTTTCATGAGTACTTATTGCAGTAGTGTAAATTATTGAGGCTTTTTGAAACTTTATATAATAATATATTTATCGTAGACCTTTGAGAACCTAGCCAGACGTTCATGGATGGATCACCTTGGGAAGGAAACAACTGATCGAGGTAAAAGCATCACCTACATTAATATTTTCTACCATGCAAAACTCAAATCCAGGTGTGGGTTATAAGTCCATGTTCGAGAAAGCCGATAGATCCAAAGCTTGGTCTTTTAATTCCATTTCCTTCTTTCTTTGTTTCTTCGTTTTTTTAATCCTTCCAAAGGAAAAATGTGGGACTCTCCCAGCAGCAAGGGAAAAAAAAAAAAAAACATCCCAAAGGCCAATGGACTCAGGTTTTTGTCTGCAACTCTCCTCAATTAAAACCATCACTCGAATATTTCAGCCTTCTTGGTGGCTAAATTCCCTTAAGACCCCTAAAAACATTTCTCTTCTTTGTCTCTTCTCAATTCCCTAGTAACCTTAATTAAATTTCAATGCCCTACACATCCAAAAGATGATATGTATATTCATAAGATAGGTCTTGTCTACATTTTCTGGTTGGTTGATGGGATATATGTTGGGATGTATGAGAAGTAAGTGAACTTCCATGTCTTAGGTTTAACATTTGTGACTTAAGAGATGATCATACAGATGTTCGAAATTTACTGGCAAGAATTTCATTGTGTCGTTAAAAAAAAAAAAACTATGTAACATGTCCTAATATTAATCAAGAGACTGTTTATTGGGGAGTAATCAATACTAATAGTGAGCTGTAAAGTCAGAGTTCAACTACATTGCAGGTAAAAGAGGGACCTGATTCCTTGTATAAGGTAAGATTTTCAGATGGGGGGTGTGCTTATTTCTGAGCTCTTTTGCTACTACTACTACTACTATAAATAGGCTTCATGTTTCAAGTTCGCTAGCAAGATGTATGCTTTTGTTATAAACTGATAATTTGCTTGCTCTAGCGTCCAAATAAGCTTACCGACAAGATATGCTCTTTTTTGGGTACTTTGCTTGATTTGGGAAATTAAACCACAGTATCAGTTAAAGCAGCATAAGGAAATGCATGTTATAATTGCATCAGATAGTGATTGATCATCTTCTCTTCCTACCTGTATTACTCTATATAGCACATTGTCTTTATTCTTGCTTTGGCTTGTTGAATTGAAGCTAGAGTTGAGAGTTCTAGAGTTTAAAAGCAAACTGAAAACCGCAAATTACCCAGTTTTTTAGGTTTTGGGCTGCTTATTTCCACAGTACTGAATCTGAGGTTTCAGTTTTCTTGTTTATCTATATTTCCCTCATATATATCCAAAAGTCTCCTGTCTCCACCTCCATTTGATTTGACATAGCTTTTTCCTATGTTGTTGTCTAACAACAAATTGTACATTTCAATTCAGAGAATTTTAATTTTAACTAATTTTGTAGCCATTACTCAATTCCTGTTGTTAGATCATCCTATGCTTAAGCATGATGAATAATTATCAAAGGGTTAATTCATCAGAGAGTTATTGTTTTAATTATACAATTAATCCTCTTAATTGATGATCAACTAACACGCACTATATATGCATTAAAACTAGAAGTAATTCTTTTCTGTTTAAACATTAATCTGGAAAACTTTCAGGACTTGATTTCCCTGTATTCAAACCTTTGTAGCTTACACTACATGGTATTGCTTTTTGAGCAAACCTGACACAGTGGTGGCATTTCTTTTACAAAGTAAATCATAAATCTGAAGATAGGAAAAAAGGGTTTGTATGTTAGTATTTGAATCTTAGATTTATTAGATACTACATTCTAAAGATGACTGTAAACCTATTAGATATTAGATTTTAAGAATAATTATATTAATCATCAGAGTTAAACTTCGAAATTCATTAGTTAAACTTCAAAATCCATGTACGTCGCATACAAGTAGGCTGATAAATGATATATAGTTGATATTTTGCCGGAAACACATATATATATATATATTATTACCTTCAGGGGAAAAACTCTTTAAAATGATGGGCTGATCCTTATATCGGAACAGATAAAAATGATAATCAGAGAAAAGTTGAATTTTTTTTTTACTTTAATCTGTTTATGATAAAGATAATAGTAAAAATATATATTTGCTTTATTTACAGCAAGCTAGTATGTGAAAAAAAAAAATTCAAGGATAATTTATTTCGTAGTGAAAAATGAAGGAGTTTTCACCCCTAATAATTATTAATTAATGCAAATCTACTATTAGGAGATAATTTTAAAAGGCAGGTAGGAAACTAGGGTTTCTCTAGTGGAAAAACTAAACAGCAATTAATTGCTTCATCAAAATCAAACACCTGGAAAAAACTGTTAGCATGGTTTTTAGCACTTCCTGACTAACCATTTCCGTACGTCTTAAGGTGAAAAGTGAAAACCCAATCAATTAATTACTTGGCTGCATTTTAAGGCCATGCAAATTACCTTATTTATTTATTTTTTAAAAGATAATTTATAGCATTCGTATATTTTTCTTTTTTAATTTCCCTTATACTTGGTCTTATACAAAAAAAAAAAAAACTTATTTTAGAGCAATGTCAATCGGTATTTTTCTTGAAATAATATTTTAATTAAATCATAGGATAATCAAATTATTATTTTAGAAAAAAATTTTGCATTAAATGAACGTTTTTATCAAATTCAACAGAAAACAATACATTAATTATATTTTTTCCTTAAATACCGATTATCAATTTTTTAATTATTTTTAATTAGAGTTTATAAGCATCTGTTAGTCAAACCTAATATTTTAATAGAGACGCACTCAATGACAAGACTGCTAGCCCTCTCCGTATTCATCTGATGTCTCCAATTTGATAGGCAACAAATTAAATAATTAAGTAATTTGTTATCAGCAATTAAATCACTGTCAAAATCTAAGCTACGAAGTAAGTAAGAAAATATTTTTTATATTTTTAGTACGTGGAGAGATGATCTATTGTACGGCCTTCAGCTATAAAAGGGGAAACCACTCTCCTATCTCAGCAAGTTGAACATGATAAATGTAATCAACAACCCTAAAACAAAATGATTCTTTGCCAAGCAGTTTGTGTAGAATTCAGGACCTGTCATGTATTCATTTATATATAAATATACTTTTTTAATTAGAAAACTTATCAATCCTTTAAACCGAATGTGGAATCTAAATAGAAATAATTTTCATATATATTATATATATCGATCGACCATGTTGTATTTAGTATAATTTCTTCTCCTATAAAGTGAGGATAGGTATGCATTCACCATAGAAAAAATGGGTTTTTTGTGACTTTCTTTTTTCATGTAATACCCGAATGATGAAACAGCGTGATTTTGTGTAGTGATTGATAAAAAGGAAAAAAATTATTTGTTTTAATAGCAAAATAGCAAAAGAATGAAAAAGAGTTTTTTTTTTTTTTTTTTTTGTTTATGGCAATGTTATTAAACCTTAGAAGAAAATCAGAAAATCAGTTCTGTCACTTAAAAAAAAAAGGAAAAAGTTATGTTGTTGAAAAATGAAAGTGTAGGAGGATGTGGGTGCAAAATGTGACAGAGATTTGGTGGGATTGAGTTCTAGATGATTCCAAATAGAATGCATATGAGACACACTAGGGGAAGCCAAAGGAAAGAGGGGGGGGGGGGGTCCTCTGTGAGATTCGTTTGGATTGTTACCTTTTCGAAAGCAAAGAAAAGAAAACTCAAAGAAATTGAGAATCGGAAAGGGATAAAAAGTTGAGAAAGAAGTTTTGGCTTTTGCACCTTATCGAGATGCCCTTATTCTGTTAGGGCTTTGATAGTTGAAGGACTATGACGGGTCATTGCCAGACCATCTCTCACTCTCTCTAGAAATATCTCTGGTCTCCAAACTGACCATTAAATAAATTTGTTGTCCAAAAAAATTGTAGCATCAAAGCTTTTTTTATGTCGTTTGCATCTCTATTATGGGATTCCACAGGGCCACTGTTTGGAGTATACCTAGCGAATATTGTCAAAGCTTTGCAAAATACATAAATTGAATGCTCCTCCTATAGGAAATGGGGATGATCACCTTTGAATCTTTGATATTATACCATGAAAGTGAAAGGTTGTGTTGGGGGCATTTAGTGGTCAAAATAGTCTTTTTTCATATTAAAAACCTTCAGCAAATAACTAAGGATAATTCCGACATTTGTACCGATCTGATATGTTAGGTCGGTCTGACATACTCAATGCCACATTATTTTAGCACTATTCTTATTATCCCCTAATAATCTCATATCGCTTATCTATATATATATATATATATATATATAAAGGTCTACGCACCATTTAGGCATGTTCATTCTACTCCTAATTCTCCTTATTAGTCTATTTCTAACCTCACTTATTCTGACTTATACGTTAGAGTGTAAACGTAAGGAATACTTCCTGTCATTGCTTTTAACCATCTTTTTTTTCTGTCTTTCTAAGAGTATCTTAAGATCGGAGCTCAACACAAATATTTGGTGTGTCAAGTAGGGGGCTTCTTTTTCATTTACTAGCCGAGCACGAAATAATGCCACCAAGGAAGAGAACTTAGAGAAAGGAGAGACGACCATCTTAGTTGGAACAAAAATGCATAATAATCAACACTCAAAACAATCTCCCCCACCATAGACAAGCCTGACCATGGAATAATTCTAGGCCCTAACCAAATAGATTCAGGCTCTTAAACAATTGTTGTAGACTATAAGCCCATCGTAAGTTTTGAGCCTAACCTAATTACCCTTGATCGAGGAATCATAGTAAGACAGCCAAATTATGAAAAAATGGAAGCGCCTTTGGCCTTTAGAGAAGAGGAGCATAACATACCCATTCATCATTACCCTAACCACAACTCGACACACGCCATAACCCAATAGACAAACCTTGAACCCCAACCAAATAAGGACCCAAAAGCTCGGATGCAGGCTATGGAGAAATAGTTGAAAATAAAAATAATAATATTTAAGGATGAGCTTAAGTTTTTAGATACCTCATCCTTCACTAAAAATGTTGATAGAGTCATGCCTCCCAAAGGGTTTAAAATGCCAACCTTACAAACATACGACAATACTTCTGACCCTTTCAATCATTTGAAACTTTATAGGACTAACATGATGATACAACATGTAGATAAAACTATAATGTGTAAGGGCCCTGCTACCACTCTAAAGGGCATAGCTCGATCATGGTACAGTAACCTAGAATCAAGGTCAATCACAACATTCAAAGAGCTTAGCCACTCATTTTTTTTTTAATTTATGAGTAATCAAAGAGCAAAAAGACAACTCTAAATTTGATATCGATCCACCAAGATCACAATGAATTTTTAAAGAGCTATGTCATGCGTTTTAATACAAAAGCTTTGCAAGTTAAAAATTTGGAGTAAATAGTCGCTGTAATCACTTTGACAAATGGACTCAACAATAAAGAGTACCACATTAAGTTAACCTTATCATTAGAACCACTTAAAACTCTGGTCGATGTCCTACTAATAGTTGAGAAATATACAAATACCGAAGCTATAATGAGAAACAACCAAGTTGAGAAAGGCTCATCATCCCTTCTTGGTTTTAAGAAAGGTAAAGATTTATACGATCTTTCTTAAAAAAAAAGTTGATATAAGGTTAGAAGCCCTAACGGAGAAAAAAACTACACTGCATTGAATACCTTTTAAGAGAGAATTCTAATACAAATCAAGAAAAATTTTGATCTTACATAGCCAAAGCCACTGATACAGAATATAATGAGAAATCTAATCAAAAGATGTGCTTTTCATGAAATGGTCAACTACTACTAAGATAAATTTTTTTAATCCATGGTCATGGTAAATGATCCAAGGACATTCATTCTTTACTGCATAAAAGGCCATAGGCTGATTATAGGAGTGAGCTTGGTTGAGGAAAGATGTTACACATGAACAAACCTTGGATAATTATTGCATCTCTTAATTGGTTCAATAGTATCGCTTCTGATGATGGGCCAATAATAGCCTTACCTAAGCACTTTGTAAGCTAATGGCCAAAGTTCAAGGTGGTTTCCACATATTCCTTCATGGATTTGTCATAGGATGTAGTCTACTTCTTCCTTATCAACGTATCTTAGATAAGTTAGGCTAAAGAATCTTTTGTATAATTTTTTCTTAATCATTGTATATTGAGGAGCCTTTTTCATCAATGTTTTAACTCAAATCCTTTCTTCAAATAGTATTCTTATGGTCAGATATATTTTGATTATTATCATCCGGTTTTTTGTGTGATCTGTCTTATGAGTTTTTTTTCAATTTTTTTATGTGTCAGTTTTTCTACAAAAACTTGATTAGGACTTTCTATTGTTATTATTGAAGTTAGCTTAGATAAAGAATCTGCCAGTGAGTTTTTTTACCTTAATATTTTCTTTATCTCAGCTTTCTTGAAATAGACCACCAAGGTTAGCACTTTATCTAGATATTTTTGAATTTTTTTTTTCGAACTCTGAACTTTTCGTTGATTTGATAGACTACTGATTGATCAACCACTAATTGATAGTCCTATACATGGTTATTTATTGAACATTCAGCTCGATTGCCAACCTTAAACTAGCTATTAATGTTTTATATTTTATGTCATTATTAGATGCCTTAAACTTAAATCATAAGTTATATGGATATTACAGCCCTTCTAGGCTGATTAGAATGAGGTCAGCTTATTAATTGTGGTTTGTGGTTGATCCATCAACAAAAAGCTTCCAATTTTTTTTGTTTGGGGTTTGTTTTTTTTTCTCAGGTTGTTTTTCAATATGTATCAAGGTAAGCTTAACAACGAAGTCCGCTAACACCTAAGATTTTAAGGCCAACTTAGGTAGTATGTGCAAGTCAAACTTACTGAGATCCACTGCCTATTTGATTAACATCTTTAACATTTCTAACTTTGGTAAGACTTGTCCAGTGGTTGATCAGTCAATACGTGGATCACATAGGCTTGAAAATACGATCTGAATTTTTTGGTCGAGGTGACAACTGCATAAGCTAATTTTTTTATATCGCTATAGTTGATTTTTGGCTCTGCCAATACTTTGCTCATAAAATATACCTA